CCTTGCCCTTGTATCTCAAAATATTTAACAAACACGTCGCTTGACAGACCTGATAATTTATTGTATTTTTTGTGTAAATTGTTATTTTTAGATTTTAAAAAATATACAATCTCATTCAAGTGTGTGCTTTGTTTTCATCATCACTCTGTTTATTATATGATACCATCCATCTTTGTGTTTCTTTGGTCTCCTGACCTATTCATAACAAGTATAGCTCAACACAGGTCTGTGTTTGAACAACTATTCTTCTACAATAGCATTTGGCTTTGTTCAATATGATGTATTCAATTTATAAATATAGGAACATTTAACAAATATAGGAATATTAAACAAATATAGGAATATTAATTTTTTAAGTAGTTGGAATTATACCCAATAGAAAGTTGTTTAATAAGAGTCATTTCTAATGGCACACATCTAAGATTTTATAGAATAACATACAACACTCTAGTCTACAGGTCTGATACAACAAAATGCACTAAATTATGATGTATCCTAGATATATCTGGGCTTGGACAAAGAATTTTTATTTTTAAAAAGTTTCTGTTTCATCAGAATTGTCGATAGTTTTTTAGTTCTTTTGGAACTAAAACTTCTTCCCTTGCATCTTTTCAAGTTAAGTTTTTACAGAACCTTTATTTTTTAAACCTTTTATTTAAAAGTCTAAAAATTCAATCTAAAATGATTTTTATTCATAGCTACTCAATCAAATGACACATTAAAATAATGAATACTTAATTTAAAACAAATTATAACTCCAATCTAAGGCCAATTACTGTTTATTTTTCATTAACAAGAACTTTTTACTTTCACTTACCTACAGATGAAACATATAGTAAGAGGCAGTATTGCGATCATGAAAATTATCGAATCTCAGTTGAGTGTGTATGACCAGTCTAGCTCAAAAACGAAAAGTAATATGAAAGTGAAATTGCATATTTAAGGTTTGTATATACTTCAAATGTTACAGCAACGTTTTCGTCAAAATCGGCTAACCGGAAGTGGCACTTTATATAATCAATGTTACACATTTTTAAGATTTTCTCGAAAACGGCTCTAACGATTTTGATCAAACTCGGTATATTAGTTTATTATTAATTTTTTTTTATTATTATTAAGTTGTTTTTTTATATCAGCTAAGTTGTGTCCACATTGATGTCACTTCATAGGGCTTAAATGTTCAATGTTCATATACGCCTTCCTCTAAAGTTCGTTTATTTGGTTTATTTAAAAAAAAAAATAATAACTGTCTCTCGTTGTTAGGAATGATGAAAAAAGGCTAAATATAATTTTCGAAAGAATTTGATAGTTCCACTATTTAATTGTACTTGTGTGAAAGAAGCTACGATATAATAATGTTTCATCAGTCTAGATCAGATATTATATTTAAATAATTAGGTATCTATCGGCCGTTTATTCCAAAAAATCATTTAGTTTAAAACAAAGATGTGATAAATTAATGTAAATTGGTGTAGAAGCAAAAATATTTCTATATAAAGTGATCTAGAATAATATTGTTACTGAGGCAATTTTTATTTTTACTGAAATCTAATAAATATTTGAAAAAATATATATATTAAAAAAATTGTAAGATTCCCATCAGTAACAATTAATGGACGAAAACCTAAACTGGAAAGGTCCCAACAAGCGAAAGTGTCATCAGTTCTATATAGAAATAATAAAAAATAATAAAAAGGCTTAGCGAACCCGAAGGTTCCATGCCGACACCACCAATCGCTTATTACAAACCTCCCTCCACCGTTCGCCGTCCAAACCCAGTCCCTTCAGATCGGCTTTAATGCAATCTTCCCACCTTCGCTTCGGTCTACACCTCGGACGCTTGCCATTCGGCATAGCAAATATTAACCTTTTAGGAATGCTCTCGTTACTAAGTCCAACAACTTTACAAGCCCATTTGATTCGCCGCGATGAAATTATCTCAATTATATTACTCGGATACAGTTCACGCAATTCGGCGTTGTGTAACCGTCTGAACTCTCCGGTTAACTCATCCTTCTTCGGTCCGAATATTCTACGCAATACTTTATTTTCAAAAACCTTAACCTCTATATAGAAAATAATGATTATTTGATGCATCTGTTAAAAAAAAAATGCATTATAAAGTTTTATGTTATTGATATTTTATATTTATTATTAATATTGCATAATAGTAAAGTCAAGACTTATCCTATCGAATCTTAAATGAAACTGGTCTTCGAAAGAGCCATAACAACAACAGAAACATACTAAAATCGATAATATTACGAGCAGAGGATAATATGGCAAGAAATTGGAATATATCTTGATAAAAATAATTATGGAATCATTAACTTAATTCAAATTAATATGCCTAATTTAAAATCTAGAATATTTTAAATGTCACAAAGGACACCTATAAAGACATTTAATACTAATTACCAGGCGATATTAGTTAAAAGAACCACCAGAAAATCACTGCCTAGCCTGGAAGGTCATAAAATGTTCCTCATAAAACATAGTTACGAACACCAATAGCTCTTCTTGGAATGATGTCAAGAATAAAGAGAATGTAGACATAGAAGAAGAATATGAAACAAAATTACGTAGAAGGAGTAGAGATAAAAAATCTACAATCTCTTTTGTGGAGCGGAAGGAAGAGCTGAGATGGAGAGGAAAGAGCAAATAATTGCGAAAGAGCTAAAGAAGAAGCTGAACTCGATGAAGAGAAACAAGACTGTTTTTATCTGAAAAGAGGCCGCGATGGCCGAGCTTGTTTTCGGGTCTAGTCTAGCTTGTTATCGGCGCTGTTCGAATCCGGCCTGGGTGGGTTGAAATTTATTTCGTAGAATGAATCTGAATCTTTTCCCTCTAGTTGGAATAAGTTTGATTCTACCTCTAGAAAAACTCCCTCATAGAGCAGAAATGGTGAGTAAGAGAGTAACCGACATATAATTTAATTTAACCGAAAATAAAATAATGTTTACATATGAAAGAAGAGATTGAGAGATGATGGAGAATCAGTTAATACAGCAGCTGGTATAAAAGCGCAATGGGAAACATTTTTAAATACTCATATCTAGATTAAAAAGCATTAGAAAGGCTATTCTTAAACACCGGAGGAATTCAGTTAAGTCAAATCAAAATGAAGTAATCGCCTGGTTCTGGGTTTTTTTTTTTTCGACTCAGACAAGTGCACTCGATCAATCATTCGCAGTCCCATATCCTCAGCTATAAATAGAATTGTCTTCATTTCAGGAAAATAATAAGGAAAGAGGTTACACATTCCTGCAGATTTTTTTCCCCCTTATCTCTCTATTCTTGACATATGGGGCTTTCGGCAGCTATGTAGTAGTCTGCTTACGTAGGCCAACCTCAAAAGATGGAAGGCAAATTTTATAAATTACAATGAATATGAAAATCATTGTGTCGACATGAAATCCCTTGCCATTTTACCTGGTTTGGTTAATTTCATTCCAACAGCAGAATTTCAGAATATTCTCTTAGATAGCGTTCATCTTCTGTCCTAATTATTAAATTTTAAATTTTCATAAAATAAGTTGAGCTTGTGGTTTTTTACTTAACTTTAATTAATAAAGCCAACTTTAGTTAATCATTGGTTAAAAATCTATTAAAAAGTTATTTAATAGAAATTTATATTTGTAAAGATACTCTGCTACATATGACCCTTAAAAATATTGACCGTAAAGGCTATTCTCTTGCTGATTTTTATTCTCCATTTTGAAGACTCCTGAAGACATTTTCCTATTTATTTTTTTCAATTTCTTTAATAACTTTGAAACGAAATATAATATTTCTAATATGTAAATAAGATCTTTAGGTAATTTAAGGAAGAGTGTTTGATGTAACATAGACAGAAATATCAATGTGAATCTTAACTTCTGTTCATATTAATTATTCGTTCTCATTCACATCTTAAACTTCTCTCCAAGTCATACTTTTTATCACCACCTCAAAAATTGTTAATGATGATAAATTTGTATCGGTGTGTGAAACTTCTATAAGCTTCTGAATTTAATTTACTATTGTATTTATCCTTGAATGATTGTTTTACTGTTTCTTAATGTGTTTCTAATAGATTCGAATCCAGGCTGATTCTTTTTTTTTTTTCCTCAAGCCTGGAAGTGTTTGTTGGCTTAAGATTCAGTGAGGTGATGGAACAACTGAACATTAATCGTACATTGAATCCCGGCTGATGTACAATCTATTTATGTTACAATAAATAAATAATAAATATACAGTTAAATAATAAATTTGTTTTATTCTGTTTCTGTTTGGCCGTGGATCGACCCTGGGTCGGTAGATCCTCCTGGGGTACACCCAGCCTCTATAAAGTGGGTACCCTTAATTAAATAATTGATTAAGGGGAATAAATCTGGCGGTTGAGCGTGATCTCGATAAAATCACCTCCCTGCACAACAGTTGACCCAATTTGTATTAGTAGTTTGTTAGAAACAGTACTTTCTTACAAAGTATTGAACCCAAGACCCTTCATGGGTTGTAGTGGAACGAGTTCTTTTTTTTTTTAATTTATTTCTAATATCACTAAAATGTTAATTCGTAATTTCATTACCCCGAAGTAGGCCAGTAGGTAATTCAAAACAACTGCAAATCAGAAACGACAAAAAAAAATCCATTTGATTTTATTTCTGATCGCACCCACAACTAGTCTATATTTTGCCAATGTTCAATATCGTCTATTACGATATTTATTACCGTAGATATCATTTATTACCTTGGCTATTGTAATTTTTTTTATTGTTTAATATTATTTAATGTTAAACGTTATCAAAGAAATGGACCGTTACTTGATAGAGTTGTTGTCCTTCACAATGGTTTATTGTCGCCGCCGCCTATCATTTAACATTCCAGAATACTATTGCTATATTTTTTTACTGATGCAAACACTTCTTTGACCCAGTCTTCAGCATTTGACCGTTCCTTGTTAGGACGATTTGCTTCTTCGTTTATAGTTTAAACTTATCTTAGTGTATAATTTAAACTTACATAAGAAAAGCTAAACGATCAAGAAAGAGATGCGACGTAGTTCCGAAGGCAGTGGGAGGTGGCCAAGGTGAACGGGGCACGACATTGTGTACCGCCAACAATAAGGTCCTGGTATCGGCTTCTCTTTTCACATCAGTCTCAGTAATACAACTCCATTCGTCTTCTACATCGTGGACAAAGGAGCCGCCGTCTTCTGTTAAGGATCTGTTCGCTCCCTGTTGTCATCTTGTCCGTACTATGTACACCTAATAATTCAATCTACCCTAAATTATGAAACTGTTAGTTCATCCAACAACTTCTGTTTTGAAGGCTAAGGGAAAACAAAACATGTGGATCAGCTTATATGTTATTTGTCTAAAAAAAAATAACTAAAAATTATTTAAACTGACAATCCATCAACGCATTGTCTTGTCTTGGGATTATTAAAACAACTTAAAATTCCTAACTAATTGTATTTCTAATTATCGTTATGGATCAGCTAGTAAAATAAATTGTACTAGTATGTTGACAAATTGGGAGTCTAAAGAAAGATAAACTGGAGTAATAATCGCTAAGAAGAAACATGCCAAGAATTGTTTCACAGATCCATGCGAAAAGGCGGTGGAATAAAGGAGAAAAATGAAGAAACTGACCAAACCGCTTTCAGCAATTATACACCCGCCAGAAAAAAAAGGACACCAATTATAAGATTGAGAAAAAGAGAGTTCTGCAGATTAATGAGAATAGCTGGCATATACGCGCATTCCACGCGGGCGGGATGGCCGAATGGGCTAACGCGTGTGCACTGCACCGCCGTTGCCCGGCAATCTGATACATAAGATTTTTTTTTTTAATAATAATAAATTTATTATTATAAGAGCAATTTTACAAATGCCTTTTGGCATATTTTGTAAATGTGATGTTCGTTAGCGAACCTCCTCTCCGGGATTAGCGTGAATACGTGATTGGAGAAGCCTCCCAGTGAAGGCACTCCTAACGTGACTCCTGACGCAGCAGACCTCTGCTCCAGAGGCGCTTGAGTCTCCTTGGTGGATTCTGTGGTAGTGTGTCTGTTAGTAATGTTTGTACAAGTGGATTAGGATGTCCAGCATGGAAAGCATGGAAACCAGCAAAGGAGTCATGGAAACTTTTATAATATTTGTTAATTACATCAGTCACTTGTGATATTTGTAGGTCTTTATGAAGTGATTTATTGTTTATGTAGAAGGGACAATGAGTGATATACCGGAGAAATTTATATTGGAAAATTTGAATAGTCTGTAAGTGTGTTTTTTTGCATGAACCCCACACCTGAGAGGCATACGTCCATATTGGTCTGAGTAGCATGTTGTATATAGTAATTTTGTTAGAAAGTGATAGTTTGTTTTTATGGTGTAGCATTCGTCTTAGTAGTGATAACCGATGGTTCAATCTCTTTTTTAATGTAGTCACGTGTGATTTCCAGGTCAGTCGTCTGTCCATTGTGAGTCCTAGATATTTTGTCTCAGTATGATTTGGCAAAGGGGTGTTGTAAAGTGTCAGTGGAGGGCAATCCGAACGTTTGAGTGTAAATGTAACCTAGTTTGATTTTTGAATGTTAATTTTTATGCGCCATTTAACAAGCCAGTCTTGTAGAAGATTTAAATGAATCTGTGCTTTCTGAGATGCTGTGATCGGATTAGAGTCAGTAGAGAGTATGACAGTGTCGTCTGCGTAAGTTGCGAGTAATGTGTCTGGTGTCTGTGGAATATCAGAAGAGTAAATTGAGTACAGAACCGGACCTAAAATACTGCCCTGCGGTACTCCCGCGCCGATTCGGCAATAGTCGGAGTATTTACCATCCTGGCTAACAATAAAAAATCTATCCTCAAGATACGATCTGATTATTAAATAATATGTATGCGGAATGATTGGTTTAATTTTACAAAGTAGACCATCATGCCACACTTTATCAAAGGCCTGTGAGACGTCTAAGAAAGCTGTTGTGCAAAATTCCTTCTTTTCCAATGCCGCAGCAATTGTATCAATCACTCTATGACATTGTTGTATGGTAGAGTGTGCAGGTCTAAATCCAAATTGGTGATTAGGAATAACATTGTTTGCTTCTAAAAATGGATAGAGCCGTTTTAATAATAATTTTTCAAATATTTTGGAAAATAAGGGTAAAAGACTGATAGGCCTATAGGACGTGACTTGGTCTAAAGGTTTGCTTGGTTTCGGTATCATTTTTATGATTGAAAATTTCCATACTAGAGGAAAGTAAGTAAGTCGAAGGATAGAATTGTAAATAGCTGTCAGGAAGATTAATGCTTTTTTGGGTAGAAGTCGTACAATTTTAGGTGTGATTAGGTCAAAGCCAGGAGATTTTCTGCGAGGTAATTTTTTAATACAAAATTCTATGTCCGAAGGAGTTATAGGGGAAGGAGGTAGAGAAAGGGAAAGAGGAGAAATTAGGATTTGTTGGACGTCTGAGCAGTGCTGTTGGTCAGGCAACTCTTCATGAGGATGAAATACTTCTGTAAGATGAGTAGCAAATAAGTCTGCTTTCTCTTTATCGCTTCTAGCCCATGGAGTTGTCTGGTTTACGGAGAGGAGTCTTTGTTTGGTGGTACCCTAGTATCTTTTGGATTTGTTGCCAAAGAGTATTGTTACTTGTCTGTAAGGTGGTCAGATGTTTTTTGTAAGTTTCCTGTTTGTATTGTTGTATAAGTTTTCTAAGTTTGTTAGAAAGTGCGTTTAGTATCTGTTTGTCACTGGGATAGCGAGATCTTTTCCATTGGTTGAGAGCACGTCGTTTTTCAATTAGAAGTGATCGTATTTCCGGGGGTAAGTACTGTTTGTCGCGGTTGGTCTCGTACTTGTGTGCTGATTGCCAAGCGGCAGTTTGTACAGTCTTAGTAAGCGTCGCTACTGCATTGTCAATATCATTTTCCGTCTTTAATCTTGTGTTTAGATCAACAGTCTTATTAATAATGGAATGAAATTTATCAATTAATATTGGTCCAGGAGTTAGTGTAGGTGTGTGGTTGATAGTAAACATGTGTCCAGAGAGAGATAAAATAACCGCTGAATGGTCTGATGATAAGTCGTTACTAATAGAGATATGATGGTGTAGTGTGTGTAGGCTAGAAGTTATAAAGAAATCAAGTAATTCTGGTTGACGGTTTATGTCTGTCGGCCAGTAAGTCGGTTCAGGTGGTAGAATCAAGTTATAGTCCAGTTCTATACATGTATTAAAAAGAGAGTTTCCTCTACATGAGATTTGATTAAAAAGATATTCACGAGTTCGCGTCCCGGTGCCCGGAAGAGTTTTTAAATCCTCACCCACACTCCCTGGCCCGGGAAAACCCCCGTATAGCCTTAAAGGCGAGGAAGGGGAGGACAGAAAAAAAAAAAAAAAAAAAAAGTTCCTGCTGGGTACATCATATTTCTGGTTCGTATGGAGATCTGATGTCTTTTACCTATAAACGAATGATCGAATTGGTTTTTCGCACCTTTGGAGTTTAACCAGCGGTATTTGTGTGTGTCGTGCAATAGCATCGTACTGCTAATGATTAGACCATTAGCTACTGCCAGACTAATACTTTTCACTCCATTATCATCGCCCGTTTCGTCTAAGTATTCCCCCAGTATCGACAGTATTTTGGGCAACAATATTTCCCGATACTGAGTATACATTGTAATTTTCGCCCTACCTAGACATTAAATTCACATTTGACTAATTTTATGTCATTATTATGAATATGATCCACAGCATTTTCTAACTTATCGTTGATCACATGATAGAAATCATCTATATCTTAAGTTGGTGCAAACAAATAAGAACCATGGTATCGAACCAACGACCGCTAACCCGTAATACACACAAACCTCTCATAAATCGAGGTACAGTTTATTATTGACTTCCTTGCCGCTGGATTAAATATAAACTCAGTTCTCTAGCTGTCCCAATGTTGTACTTTTTCATATCGTAGCGCAGTGTACCGATTTACAGTATGTTGTACCTTCTAAGTTCGTTTGAATAGCTTTGGTGGCATGAGTTACGAACGCTAATAAGTTCCGAATAATCAAGTGTGAAGTCCGAATTAGGAAAGGGGGCGGTTACCATATCAAGACTGTCAGATTTTCCGAAGCTAGTTTTAGGTTTTAGGTAAGATATTTTTACGGGATAAATTTTTTAGCCATAGGCCCAACCCTAATCTTGAAGACCAGTCGCTTATAATAATTATTACTTAATTTAAATTTTTCCTCAAGAAAAGAAATGACATAATCCATTTTGATTTTCCTACCACCCATGGACCAGGACTAAAAGTTAAACAGGTAAAGTAAAAAAGTCAATGGCCAAGATCTTCTGCTTCACCTGTATGACAAAAACTAAATCTAGACTTAATTATCTAATCATTTGTTGAAATCATTATTCAAGATCACCGACTAAAGTATTAAGAATATTAAATAGAACAAATTTGTTTTAAACTCAATTTTCGTTTTAAACAAATTATGAAATATGAAACGGACTACTAACTGTTTACTTATTACATCAAATAATTACCATTAATATTAATTTATTTATTTTTACTGCCATCGGTCCTTTCGCTTTATTCATTCATTATTGGCTCAACAAACGCATGTCCTTGGTCTGCTCAATTACCTTCATCCCTGTTTGCTGCGCACGTGATGGATATGCCATTTCTTCTCAAATCTTCTTTAGACCTAATTCCTCCTGGAGACCCATGATAAAGATTTCTCGCTGTCCTCGCTTCATCCATTCTCAGGACGTGTCCTAACCATTTCATTCGGTGAACTCGAGCGAATTAGGAGACAGACAGATCGCCGTACCTTGAGCATACCTCCTTGCTTGTTCTCATGAACTCCTTCCTCAAGTTTAGGTCCTATTATCCGTCTTAGGATTTTCCTTTCAAACCAATCTATTCGTTCTGCAGATGGCTTCGTTGGAGTCCATGTCTCACACGCATATGTTGCAACTGGCCGATTAATCGTTGTGTATATCCTAAACATGTTTGCACGACTCAACAATCTGCTTTCAGTATGTTCGCTACAGAAAAATACGCTCTGTTGGCAGCCTTTATTCTCCTCCTCTTCGTTATTTCAATCATTAATTTTCGACCCGATGTAGATGAAGCTTGATACAGCTTGAAAAATATGGTTTCTCACGACATTGTGATGTGGTGGATGGACGAGCTTTTTCTTCCTTGGCTTTTTTTCGTTGTTGTAAAGCCTCATTTTCGTATTATTGTCAATTCTTATTTAACAATGTTATATACAATTTTAATTATTAAGGTCGCTTAAAAAATTTAACGTATTAATAGCCTAGTCCTTATTGTATCTTAATGTTTCATTTACTATAGAAAATATATTTTGAATCTACCTAGTCTCAATTTATAATGTCCATAATATTACAATATGCCTTTATATGTTATGGAAAAGTGGTTCATCAGGTATTCCACTGTTAATAGTGGTGCGACCAATCCTCAACCAGTTTAGGGTTTCTTTCTTTCTTCCATTTCCGATTAAGGATTATTATTATATCACCTTTATTTATTGTATCTTTTATAGAATACTGAAAGTAATTTATCCTACACATTCTCTCATATAAATTATGTGTCCTTTTCAAACAGACCTGGAAGAAATGTATTTTAAGTACTAATTGGTAATACAGTATTTAAAATACCTCGAATTTCGTACAGCGTATTTTAATTACAAATCATTTAATTTATTTTCATAAAATGTATTTCAAATATAAAATACTATAAGTATTTTGTATTTTAATTACAAAAATACAGAATAATCTCTGGTGTACGATCAACATTTGATACAGGAAACCAATTATTTGGTAATTTATGTTTTGTATTTAAAATACAAAATAAAATACATTTTTTTATTTAGTATCTCGGAAATAAAATACAAATACTTGTTTTATATTTTATAAATAAAATACAATTACGATCAATCTATTCTATGTTTTACTTCTTGAAACGCAAAATAAACAAAATATATTTTATTTTGATTATTAAAATACGTTCTACATTTTTTCCTCCCCTTCCTCGCCTTTTAGGCTATACGTTTTTTTTTCAGGGCCAGGTGTGAGAGTGGGGGAATTAATGCCAAAGATAAAGCCCCCGGCATCGGAATGCGAACTTGTAATTATTTTACAATGCGTGTGTTGCACACGCCTTTGCCCACTCGCCTCCAAAAATATATTATTTGAAATACTACCCAAGAATATTTTCAAGTATCATTTATCTCATGATTCAAATGCAGGATTGAACAGAAATATTTCAAATTTAGCTGCATTTGTACTAGTTGAAAAAAAAACAAAAAAACTGAGGAATTATAAAATAATATTTATATGTATTGTCTGAGGTACTCGAAGATTATATACGTAAAATATAAACAAACAATCAAATACACGTAAAGATAACACTTCTATTATTTCAACCTGTTTATGTAAACTGAAAATATTTCACAATATCTCGATAACATTAAAGAATTTGAGGAAGATTTAAAGCAAAATAGTCCTCTTAAATCAAATGTTTACAAGTGCCAATTTCCTTTTTTCTATCTTATTTAATCAGGCTTTGTACAGTATTTTTTCTTAAAATACATATATTTCAAAATTAGTATAGGTAATTCAAATCGTTGCTAGTTTTACGTTTTTAGTTTAATTTTTTCAACGGATAGAACTTTAAAGAATGTTTTTTTTTTTTTAATTACCATACGATTTACTAGATCAATGATATCTTTATCTAATACTGATTTTATAAAAATATTATCAGTCAAAATCAATTTATCCAAGTTAATAGTTAATAAGTTAATTACCTTTTGTGTCTTAAAATATATTCACTGTTGTACATAATGAAAACGGAGCTAAAATTATATTGATTTCGGCTAAAATCAATTTCAGGAACGTTTTTGTGGCTCTGTGAGAGATGCCATAGGCAACACGAGCCTATATTGCTGATGCCAGTTCCTGAAGAAAGGTCATTGTTATAATTAGTACTTCCTCGTGTCAGTTGCTTAATAATAATTCAATGTCATCTAAAATAGAATTTTAACCATTCATATACTAAATGTATTATTTAAAATATTTTAAATAATTGTCAATGCCCAAAAATTATTGTTGATAATAATCTTCATACCTATTTGACATAGCTATATATTTAGTTACTCATCATCAATGACAGCTATAAATTGAGATATTTGTTACAGTGTTAAAACGCATAATTTTAGAGAACGTTTATTTATATGTTCGAATTTTATATTTTTTGTGCACTTGGAAAAAAACGTCTGCCAAGTAAGGTCAGTATAGCTTCCTCACCGTTTCCGTTGTATATTACAAGGTATACAATTTTTCGTATGAGAATAAAATCTCTGAGAGAAGAAGAATCGGAATAGCCGATTACAGTTACCCTTCAACATTCAACAAAAGAGTGTCGTATTTGAAGATTCCATACTTGATTATGCTTAATAAAAAAAAAAAAAAAAAATGCATACTGAACATGAATTTCAATACTGTTAGTGCAAAAGGTCTTACGTACAAATTTATTTATTGTTTTACAAGAGTGCATAAAAACTCATAATTTCTTTATGCTTTATTAGAATAATTTCATATTTTATTGTCATCTGCTATTTTCCATAGTAGCAGACTACTTATATCAGATGCAGACTACAAAATGTCACCATTAACACATAGAATTAAAGCTGAAAATTTTTACATTCGAACTTTTGCTCTGATAATAGTGATATACACTACCGGATCCAGATTAAATTTTGGGGGAGGGGCTTCAGCCCGAAAGATTATATATATATATATATATATATATGACGATAATTAATTTGAAAAAAATCCACTGCAAATTATTTCACTATGGTATATTATTTCCAAACAATTATACATATAAAGTAAACATTAAATTCCTAGTTACAAAGAAAAATAAATAAAAGGTGATTCCAATTATTGGACTAAACTTTCTTTTAATCATTAGTAATATGCTAAAAAATAGTATTACTTCAGTAACACATTCAAAAATCAAAACAAAAGATAAACCTTTTGCAATAGCACATCTAAAAAAAAAAAACTATAGACCATATCTTTGCTCCTAATTGTCCGATTATAACAAATTTTGTTTTGTTTTTTAGGAAATACGCCAAACTTATAAATAACCATATTAACAAAAATGTGAATACTTCTTGAGTTATTCGGAATTTAATTTTACCATCCCTCGTAACTTTTTTTTGAGCTTCTTTTCGTTGAAGTATGTTATATAGATAAATTTAAAGGGAGTAGAGAAAATGACTTTAGCGAAGTTTCATTAAAATCGGTACATTCGTTTAGACGCTACAGTCTATAGCAACGCGGGTTTTTCTGCCGCCGTTTTGAAACAAGAAAGCGAATAGTAATGTCGTTGAAGGATGATCATCCTCTGGTGACCTCTGATTTTATATTCAAATTTAAAAAGATTCGGTCCAGTAGTTTCGGAAAAAATGCGCGGACGGCGGACAGCGGGCTAGTAGTGCATATATAAGAGAAAGTAGTGGACAGAATGCAATAAAATTGACACTACGTTATTTTTTCACCAAAGTCTACCTTTTATCTAACTTTTAGGCAAATCGAACGAGCCCTTTCTGATATATTGGCATATCTAAAAATATACGTTTGC